ATAATAAAAGACAGTGGGTTTCAGCCTCACAAACCAAACTAACAGGATTTGAGAGGCAGGAAATCTCATTTCACCATTAACACAAAATAAAAGGCCAGCAGAACATGAGGTTTAATCCCATTTCGGGTCTCTGCCTCTGCCCACGTGACATGCATCCCTTGGAAGAATCAGCTACTGTAGCCGCGCCCCCGACCCTACCCCCAGATGACCTGTGCTTCCTCTCAGGCACCCAGGCACTGCACTTCCTACTAGGTTTGAAATCAGAAGTACCATGAAAACACCACAGAGAGGGAGAAGAGGCTCTCCCAGGCCAGGCAGCAGAGACCCGCTGGCCACAGCATCCCAGTCCTTTATTCATCCAGCCAATGCTGTGTACATTTGCTAAGCACCTTGCCTGCAGTATCCTATTGACTCTCTCCAACTTAGTTGGGTGATTTTATACATGCAACTTACCCCAGGTTGCACAGCATTGGAATCCAAGGTCTATATGATACCAAAGTTCAGTCTCAGCTAGTAGGCTTTCCCACTTCTGGGCCAGCCCATGAGATGTGGGTTCAATCCCTGGGCCAGGAAGATCCCCTGGATCAGGGCATGGCAACTCATTCCAGTGTTCCTACTTGGGGAAATCCCGCGGACAGAGGAGCCTGGTGCACTGCAGTCCGTGAGGTCACAAACAGTCAGACATGACTGAAGCGACTTAGCACACAAGGGTTTGGCAGTAAAAGCAACGAAGACCCAGAAGAGCCAAAAATTTAAAAAATAATAATAAAAAAAACATGTATTGAGTTCCTACTCTGGAAGGCCTGGTCTCAGTAGTAGCAAGTATGTGGCACTTAATAGTAATTCAGCATGCTCTTTCCCGTTGGGAATGGAGCCTCTGAGTAGAGATTTTCAAATCATTGAAAACTGGTATAGTGCAGGCAGCCAGCAAAGGAAAGAAGGGCTGTACCCAGTTCCACGGTCGGTGTGGGCACATCTGCAGATAAGATTCAAAGGCAGAGACACCAACAGCTGGCCAGACATCACACAGCAAGCACTTGACCAACGAGGAGTTAGAGCAGCCCTGGCTTTGTATCTTCTGCCTTCTGTCCTTCTCCCGGGAAGACCCCAATTGGAGCAGGGTCTCTGATGCAGTTGGTCCTCTGGCCAGCAGGGACCTGTCACCACTTGATTCTTCCTCCCTCTAACCCTGTGGAGGAGGGGATAACCCATTCAAGGTTTCTGGGGCGTCAGCCTGGTTCCTTGGCAGCCAGCGAGGCACCCTGGGATGGGAAATCAGGCAGCCGCCCAGATATTATAAACAATTACCGCTAATTACCAGGCCTGCCAGTTCCCTATTGTCTGCTCACAATCCCACCAGACACTGAGGAGCAGACAGTGACGATGTTGGAGGAAACTTTCAATTTCAGGCTCTAGAAGGCCTTGCTCTGCCTGGGAGGTGGGCCCCTTTGGTGCCTTAGAACCCATGAGGCACTGCCGTTTCTTGGGCTTCAGGAGCCCAGACCCTCCTCACAGAATGGACTCCTGACCTTCAGGAGGCTGAACTGGAAAAGAAACCAGCGTGGAGGAAAGGCCAGATCACCCGCTGTGAGAGTCTTGGGGCTCTGTGAGAGGGCAGGCCATTCACAGGGCTCAGTTCTTGTGACTGTTTGTCTTCAGGATTCTCTCTTAATTTCCCAGAGTCTTTGTTTCACTGAATTTGGATCAGCTGTCTCACCCTGGATCTGTCAGCTCTGATCAGGGGACAAGGTACTGCCTTAGTTTAAGTCAAACCAGTCTCTTCAGTCAATGACCTATGAGTTAATAACAATGACTTAATACAAACATTTATTTTTTGTTCATGCAAACTTCAGCACAGGTGTTCTGGTCATTGCACCTAGCCAAACTCCTTTATTCTTTTTTAAAATCATCCAATGAGTGCTTATGATTCCTCTGCTCTCAGATATTTAGAGAATTTCCATTTTCACTCTTATAAATCATCCGTGGGTAAATACAGTCCTTTTCTCCTCCACATCCAAAGGCCCACAGCAATTGGTTTCCCTCTTTTTTTTCCTGAGACTGTCCTTTGCTGTGTTCTGTGACATTGTATGAACCTGCAACATTGACCTTCTCCAAGGTCCTGAACTAGACTCTCTTGCCCCTGCCTTGTCTCCATCACCCTCTTGGGAGAGAAGCACTTTCTCCTGCTCCTTACTGGGCTCCCTCACCCTTGTGGGGTCACCGTCCTGAGGCCCTCAGGACCCCCTGCTGATGGCTCTGCTCAGTGTAGAGAGAAGATAGTGTGTGGGAAGTGACCTCCTTTCCTCTCGCCTTGTTACTGGGCCCTGGGTATCCTTCGGCCCCCCAGGTCAAATTCTCCTCTCCTGGTCCATTCTGGGCCACTGCATTCTGCAGTGATTCCTCTCTTCTGATGGCCTCTGAGCTCTCACAACCCAAGGTGAGCAGGTAGGGGACTGGTGGTCTCGTAAGAAGACAGTCGTCCTCTTTAGTTGTTTCTTTGGGGGCAGCACATTTGTTTGCCCAGCAGAACGGTAAGTTCTTTGTGCATGGAGTCTTCTCTTGTTTGTTCCTGCAGCTTGCTTGGAATTTTATACGTGAAGATGCAGATACTCTTGGGTGCCGTGAATTGGGCAGTGGCCTGGTAGAGCAGCAGGCACTGCCATTTTCTAGCCCTCAGGCAGCTATCTTTCTCACTCTAGGCCTCAGTCTTCCAATCTGTGAAATTGGGTCAGAGGACACTTTTCCTGGAGCTATTTGCAGAGCTGGAGAGTGAATCTTTTGCCAACTGTGGGGATTTGTGATTTAGCAGCGAGGTGTGAAGGCAGACAGCTGTGGTTCAAACACCAGGGAGCATGTCTAGGGTGTGAAAAGCTGGGTACAGACATAGAAGACCGTAAATGAGTCATTCTCTCTGAAGAACTGGAGCAAAGGTGGACAGAGTGGTTCGGAAGCAGAAGGGAACATCCTCGGGGTGAAACCAGATACCCCTTGGGTTCTCCTCTGGCTCCTTCAAGGCTGACAGCCCAGCAGGTTCCCCTGGAAGGAAGCTGGGGACAGGGTGGGGGGCTGCTCTTAGGGCAGGAAGCGAAGCATGCAGTGCCCTCAGTTGAAGCCTGAGGTAGTCGCCCCTTCCTCCTAAAAGACGCTGTGACAGGCTGCTGTGAAACCTGGCACAGGATGTGCTTGTTCAGAGTTAACTGTGGTTCTTGGAACATGCCCAAGTGGAAGGTCACCCGGGGTTGGCCTTAAAGGTGTTGTATCCATGTGCTGACTTTGCCCTGTGAATTCTGGCTTCAGACTGGGCCGAATCTGCCTCTTTACATGAATAATACTGATAAAGGTTAAAAAAAACAAAAAATGAAAAAAACCTCAACCTCCTTTAGCTGTGGCGAGGATCCTAAGACAAAATAGGTTACAGGTGCTTTACTTCTGAAGATAACAGGTACATCAAGCTTGGTGTTTAGTGCCTGATCTCATTAAGTTTTTCCAGTAGTCATGTATGGATGTGAGAGTTGGACCATAAAGAAGGCTGAGTGCTGAAGAATTGATGCTTTCAAGCTGTGGTGTTGGAGAAGACTCTTGAGAGTCCCTTTGACAGCAGGGAGATCAAACCAGTCAATCCTAAAGGAAATCAACCCTGAATATTCACTAGAAGGACTGATGCTGAAGCTGAAGCTCCAGTACTTTGCCCACCTGATGCAGAGAGCTGACTCATTGGAAAAGACCCTGATGCTGGGAAAGATTGAAGGCGGGCGGAGAAGAGGACGACAGAGGGTGAGATGGGTGGATGGCGTCACTGACCCAATGGACATGAGTTTGAGCAAGCTGCAGGAGATGGTGAAGGACAGGGAATCCTGGTGTGCTGCAGTCCATGGGGTCGCAGAGTCGGACGTGACTAAGTGACCGAACGATAACAATAACTCATTAACTACTTATCAGATCTAGGAGATGGGAGTGTTATTATTCCATTTCAGAGATGGGAAAGAAAAACCTAAAATTGGCTTTAGCAAAATAATAATAGTTGTTGTTGACTTACATACCCAGAAAGAAAAAGAAGTATCTCTTGCTTCAGGTAGAGTTTGATCCAGGAGCTTATGCAGTGCTGCCTGTGTGATGGCCTCCTTCATGGGCTGCTGATGGCAACAAGAGCAGCAAGAGGCTCCAGGCTTCTGTCTTAGGTGTAGATCTTGTGAGAAAATAGAGTCTCTCACTTCCTACAGTTCAAAGAAAGCTTCCTAGGCCGATTCTTGTGGGCTTGGGCGAGACGCCCAACTCTCAACCAGTCACTGGCCAAGGAAGGAATGGCCTGCTTGGCCAGGCTGAGCCCACGTGAGCCTCTGAAGCTGGGTCTGCTCTGCTCCATGGGAATCAATGTCTTGAGGAGGGGGCTCCCCAAAGGAGATTTAAAGTCTGGTTCCCAGAGGAAGGGGGGGCGGATATTTGGCAGCCCCACGGCAAGGACAAGCGTGGACCTCCGGGAGGAGCCACTGGTGTACTTTTTTTAACTGTCCAGTGCAAACCAGTCCTCTGGGGCTCATGTTAAAAGGCAGTTTCTGATTCACCAGCTGGGGAGTGGAGTGGACCACCATTTCCTTTCTAATTAGCTCCCGGGCAGTGCTGCTGGTCCCTGGACCACACTCTTGAGTATCAGCCCTAACCCATAGAGCCAGGCATGGACAAGCATCACCTCCTGAGAGTCCTACCTGGAGAGGCAAGTGACATCATGCCCATTTCATGGAAGAAGAACCTGACACTTGGCAAGGAGAGGTCAGACAGGACATAGAAACTAAGCCCTAGAATTTTGGAGTCAGAGCGGAGATTTTAGGGCCATTAAAGTAGAAAGGAAGAAGCTGAGAGGACACTGGCCTGCCTGAGACTGGGAGATGGATGTGGACAGAATCGCTGTGGAATTAGGGAGGTTCTGGAGCTGACTGCCTGAGTCATCCGAGTCCTCAGTTGGCCCCCGGGAACGTCTGTTTTTGTCTCATTCTTTCTTGCAGCCTTAACTATGGGGGAGTTTGCCTGGCATCAGATGCCCAGTTCAGTGACTTCCTGGGCAGCATGGGACCGGCACAGTTTGTGGGCCGCCAGACCCTGGCCACCACGCCGATGGGTGAGTGTCCCGAGACCTGTTCCAAAGTGGGTGGGGGTCCCCACCAGAAGCCCTCTGTCTCTCCTCTGCCTGGGTTACATCTACTGAGCACTCGGCCTGGAGCCCAGGTTGCATCTGCCAGGCGCTCTGCAGAGCCCGGGCACTCGGCATGGGGTTTGGTTCTGGTTGGTTTGTGGCTGGGAACAGGGGAAGGGAATTGCATCCTCAACAGAGAGGAGGAGCTGAGTCCTTGATGGAGCTTCCAAGCCACTTCCCAGTCTCAGCTCTTGGGGCCTGTTGCAGGGGACGTGGAGATCGGCTTGCAGGAGCGGAACGGTCAGCTGGAAGTGGACATCATCCAGGCTCGGGGTCTGACAGCCAAGCCAGGCTCCAAGACACTGCCAGGTGTGGGGGCTGCCCACCCGTCTGCAAGGCGGGGGTGGAGGTCTGGGAGGATGTCCCGAGGGATAGCTGGGTCTAGAGGAGAGAAGATGGTGTCCAACTGGGGGTCTCCTTCCCCCTAAAGCTAGTGACTCCTGTGTCACTGGCAGTTTAGAATTTATTCTGGAGACCCAGTTGAAATTGTCCATTGACCTTGTCCACCTCCTTGACTGCACTGAGCTCCTGGAGGTTCAGAGAGCATCTTTGGTTTTTTTTTTTTTTGTGGTTCTACCATTTGTGATTCTACCCTAGCACCTGGTAGGGTGCATGGAATGCCTTGAGTGTTCAGCAAACATCAGAGTGAGTGGGTCAGCCATGAGTGTGTAAGCCCAGGAACGGTAGGCAGGCCAGGGACTGAGAGAGGGAAAGGGTGGGCAAAGGGGCAGGCAGGCAGGACCCCTCAAGAGGGTAGTGTAGACCCCAGCCAACCCTGACTGCACCCCACCCCTGTTGCCTCGTCCCTGGACTCCCTGCGGGCACCCCGATCCCCAGCAGTGGGTCTCTTTGCTGCACCCTTTGCCCACCATTGGAGGCCCAAGCTACAGCTCACCCTGCTGACCTCTGTCCTCAGCGGCCTACATCAAGGCCTACCTGCTGGAGAACGGCGTCTGCATTGCCAAGAAGAAGACCAAAGTCGCTCGCAAGTCACTGGACCCGCTGTATAATCAGGTGCTGCTGTTTCCTGAGAGTCCCCAGGGCAAAGTCCTGCAGGTGAGGGGCCAGGGGCGGGCAGGGGGGTGCCCTCTGCAGGGCCTCACCTGGAGAAAGCAGGGCACTCTGGTGGATCTGAGCACCACCATTTGTGGTGCGACTTGGAGCAAGTTCCTTTCTGAGCCTCAGCTTCTTTATCTGTAAAATGGGGATGATAACAGTAGCCGCTGGTAGTTACCGTGACAGCGGAATGCATGCTTCATGCGAAAAGGTATTTGCAAGTTTGGCCTGTAGTAATGATGATGATCACCATCATCACCAGCCTCTGGAGGCCAGGGGCTTAGCATGGAGTGCAGTGCTAATAGACTGAAAGCCTTTTGAGGATCCAGAGATCTTTGGCCCCCTGACTTTTAGGAAGATCCTAGTGGTCACCTTGGAGAAGGCAATGGCACCCCACTCCAGTACTCTTGCCTGGAGAATCCCATGGACGGAGGAGCCTGGTAGGCTGCAGTCCATGGGGTTGCTAAGAGTCGGACATGACAGAGCAACTTCACTTTCACTTTTCACTTTCATGCATTGGAGAAGGAAATGGCAATGCACTCCAGTGTTCTTGCCTGGAGAATCCCAGGGACGGGGGAGCCTGGTGAGCTGCCGTCTGTGGGGTCGCACAGAGTCGGACACAACTGAAGCGACTTAGCAGCAGCGGCAGTGGTCACCTAGGGCTTCCTTGGTAGTTCAGCAGAAAAGAATCCACCTGCTAATGCAGGAGACATAGGTTTGAAGAAGGAAATGGCAATATACTCTAGTACTCTTGCCTGGGAAATCTCATGGACAGAGGAACTTGACAGGTTACAGTCCATGGGGTCAGAAACGACTCAGCGACTAAACAAAAAACAACAAAAGATGTTTGCTGAAACTAGTGATAGCTGCCCATCGTGGGGTCGGCAGGGCCCAGGCTGGATGCCTTAGGAGCCACATGCCTACTCTCTTTGAGCTGCCGTTTGTTTTTGTTTGTTTGTCTTTGTTTTTGAAAATACTTATTTTTTTGGCCACTCCAGGTCCCAGTGCAGCACGTGGACTCTTAGTTGTGGCGTGTGGGAATCTAGTTCCCTAGTTGACCAGCAATCACACTCGGACGCCCTGCATTGAGAGTGTGGAGTCTTAGCCACTTGACCACCAGGGAGGTCCCTCAGAGCTGCTATTTGGGCATCTCTAGTTTACACCCCAGTCTCTTTCTCCTAACCTGAACAGGCAGAACACACAAGGGTAGGGCCAAGGTGTTACACGTCTCCAAGACAGTGGGCTTTTGGCAAACTGGAAAGTCCAAGTCCTGTCTAGGACAGTCTTTCAATTTGTAGGTTGTGACCCATCAGCAATTTATGAACTTGGTTTAGTGGTTGTTTTGTTTTTTTTAATGGAATGGAATAGGAAATAGGAAAGAAATGGAAAATAGGACTAGGAAAGAAAACATTTCTCATTCTTAGTAAGGCAAGTCTTATTTGGTGGAACCACGTGCTTCAGTTGTGAATCTCACGTGTTCATTGGATGATGATTTAAATGTCTATCTTGCTGTATATATCAGTCAGAATAAAGTTTGGAAAAATCTTTCTGATCTAGAGGTATTCAAAGACAATTTAAAACAACTAGAAGGCCATCTGGGGGCCACATCTGTGTTTTCTGGCCTGAGCATCTTTGTAGAAGCTCCAGAGCACATCCTGTCTGGGATGCAGAAAGATAGAGAAATAGAAATATGGCATGTGGGTTCTTGCTGCTGAGCCTTCTGACTAATGTCAGGGCAAGACAGACCCACAACAATTGAGTGATGCCAGCTGTGTTCATCTGCTAAAGCTGCCATAACAAAATACCATAGACCTGGGGTCTTAGGTAACAGAAGTTTATTTCTTACAGTTCTGGAGGCTAGAAGTCCAAGATCAAAGTGTCACAAGTTATGTTTCTTCTGAGGCCTCTCTCCTTGGCTTGTAGACGGCCACCTTCTTGCTGTGAACTCATACGGTTCTTTTTCTACACCCAGGCATTCCTGGTGTCTGACTGTGTGTCCTAATCTTCTGTTCTTATAACAACACCAGTTAAAATCACATGCCACACTAATGGCCCGGTTTAATGTAATCATTAAAGGACCAGTCTCCAAATACAGTCACGTTCTGGGGTTAGGGCTTCAATATGAAATTGAGGGGCATGCAGTTAAGCCCATAACACCGATGATAACAGATCCATTCACACACTCAGACTTGGGCTGCTTTTTTTTTTTTTTAAATTGAGGATATAGTTGCCGTACAATGTTCTGTTCATTTCTGCTGTATACGGAAATGACTCAGCCTTCTGTGTACATATATCCCCTCCCTCCGGGGCCTCCCTCCCACTCCCCAGCCCCCTAGGTGACCACTGAGCACCACACTGGGCTCCCTGTGCTCCGCAGCAGCTCCCACTAGCTCACTGTTTTACACATGGTGTCCAATCAGTTACCAAGGGGGCATTGACAGCTTATTAGTTGAGTGACCTCGGGCAAATGATTTAACCTCCCTGAGCCCCAGTTTAAACAGCTGTGAAATCGGAATCCTTTTTTATAGCGTTGTTGGGAAGACTGAATCTAGGGCTGGTTTAGCCTTAGAACAGTTCCTGACATGCAGTAACCAATAGCCGTGGCCCGTGTTGTTTGCCTATCTCTCTGCATGCTTGAGGAACGGCTTACAGCTTACAGTGAGCCTCCACATTTATTATCTCCTGTGATCCTCACCCGCCAGGTAAGCTGAGTGTGGATGATTCCATTTACAAACAAGAACCCTGAGTCTCGGTGAGGCTCAGTGACTTGGTCCGAAACGACCTAGACAAGACTGGAACTTGACCCTACATATGTCTGACCCTGAAGTATGTGTGTCAAGACCGCAGGTCTTGTGAGCGATAAGCCAGCCCACGTTTAGAGAGGGGCATTAGAACCTGAGGAGAGCAAATGAGGGTCCGGCAGCCACAGAGAGCACCCGTCTGGCCGCTCTAAGAGGAAGGTAGAATGAGGAGTGGGGAAGGTGCTGCACAGACGAGTCTGTTGGAAAAGCGGAAGGAGGCTAGTATGTGTGTTCTACACGTGGCAGCCACTTTTAAAAAACTGAAGTATAATTGATTTACAATGTTGTGTTACTTTCCAATGTGCACCAAAGTGATTCACTTTGTTTCTTCAGATTTTATTCTACTATAGGTTATTCCAAGATACTGAGTATAGTCCCCTATATGTGTGTGTGCACGCTTAGTTGCTCAGTTGTGTCCAGCTCTTTGCAACCCCATGGACTGTAGCCCACCAGGCTCCTCTGTCCATGTGGATTCTCCAGGCAAGAATACTGGAGTGGGTTGCCATGCCCTCCTCCGGGGGATCTTCCCAACCCAGGGATCGAACCCAGGTCTCCCACATTGCAGGTGGATTCTTTACCATCTGAACCAGCAGGGAAGCCCATAGTCCCCTATGCTATACAGTAAATCCTTGTTGCTTTTCTATTTTATATATGGTACTTTGTTGATCCCATGCTCCTAATTTGTCCCTCCCTTCCTTCCCTTCCCTTCCCCTTTGGTAACCATAACTTGTTTTCTGTGTCTGTGAGTCTATTTCAGTTTTGTATATACATTCATTTGTGTTATTTTTCTAGATTCCACATTTAAGTGATATCATATAGTATTTGTCTTTCTCTGTCTGACTTCTTCACCAAGTATAATATATTCTAGGTCTATTCACCTTGCTGCAAATGGCAGTATTTCATTGTTTTTAAAGCTGAGTAATATTCCATTTTGTGTGTGTGTGTGTACATATCATATCTTCTTAAGCCAGTTGTCTGTTGATGAGCACTTGGATGGTTTCCATGTCTTGACTGTTGTGAATAGTGCTGCTGTGAACATTGGGGTACATGTATCTTTTCAAATTAGAATTTTCATCTTTTTCCAGATATATACCCAGGAGTGGGATTGCTGGATCATATGGTAGCTCTAGTTTAAATTTTTTAAGGACCCTCCATAGTGGCCGTACCAATTTACATTCTCATGAACAGCATAGGAGGATTCCCTTTTCTCCCTGTCCTCTCCAGCATTTATTGTGTGTAGATGTTTTGATGATGGCCATATTGTCTGGTGTGAGGTGACACCTCATTGTGGTTTTTGATTTGCATTTTTCTAACAGTGATGTTGAGCATCTCTTCATGTGCCCATTGGCCATCTGTATGTCTTCTTTGGAAAAAGATCTGTTTAGGTCATCTGCCCATTTTTTAATTGTTTTTCCCCCAATATTGAGTTGTATGAGTTGTTTATCCATTTTGGATATTAACCCTTTGTCAGTCTTACTATCTGCAAGTATTTTCTCCCATTCCTGTCACTTGTCTTTTTGTTTTTTGATGGTTTCCTTTGTTGTGGAAAAGTTTTTTCTACGTTTGATTAGGTCCCACTTGTTTATTTTTGCTTTCCTCTCTTTTGCCTTGGGCAAGCGATCTATGAAAATATTGCTATTGTTTATGTCAGAGAATGTTTTGCCTAAGTTCTTTTCTGGGAGTTTGATGGTGTCATGTTTTAGGTGTTTAAACCATTTTGAGTTTACTTTTGTATATGCTGTGAGAGAGTGTTCTAATTGTATTGATTTACATGTGGCTGCTCTACTAACCACTTTTATTTTTTAAATTTATTTAAAGTTTTTAAAAAATCTTATTTATTTTCTTTATTTGTCTGTGCCAGGTCTTAGCTGGGGCATGTGGGATCCAGTTCCCCAACCAGGGACCAGCTCAGGCCCTGCATTGGGAGAGTGGAGTCTTAGCCACTGGACTACTAGAGAAGTCTCAACTACTAGCCCCTTTTAAAACCTTTATTTCTGAGGATCTGGAAGCAGAGGGCAGATGGATGAGGGGGGTAGGTAGGACGCTCACAGTGCAGGGTCAGCCATCAAGGCTGTGCCTCAAAGATGGGGTAGGTGGAAAGGAAGAGCAGGATTGGAGGCAAGAAGCCCATCATCCAGGAGCATCTGGTGGGACCTGAGCCATTTTAGGGCGGAGGACTCCCAGGCCTCGGAGATGAATAAGGCGCGCGGCGACCCCAGGCTCCGTTTCTGGGCCTGTGAGCGGCGTCGGCAGGGTCCGAGCCACGTGTCTCTTGCCCCGCAGGTGATCGTGTGGGGCAACTACGGGCGGATGGAGCGGAAGCAGTTCATGGGCGTGGCCCGCGTGCTGTTGGAGGAGCTGGACTTGACCACCCTGGCCGTGGGCTGGTACAAGCTCTTCCCCACCTCCTCCATGGTGGACCCAGCCACGGGCCCCCTGCTCCGGCAGGCGTCCCAGCTGTCCCTCGAGAGCACCGTGGGGCCCTGCGGCGAGCGGTCTTAGTGCCGGGGAGGGGGAGGGGCTCCCCGAGATGGTCCGGAGACCGCCCAGCCCCGACCTGGGACCCCAGGCCCCGGGGCACATTGAACAGAGGAGGCCGGGGTTCTCCCCCACCCAGGGGGGAAGCTGAATGGGGAGACCTGACCCCCCAGGGCCCCCCCTCACCCCTTCTTTGCCTCCTATTCCCCGAGACCTTCCCTCTCCCGATGGGATTGGCTGCACTTTTGACTTGGCCGGTTCTTGACCTGGTGGATGTGTCTGCAGTCCGGAGAACGGAAAGATCGAGGCGGCAGGGCACACCATCCTCCTGCCCCCGACTCTGTCCGACCGCACCCTCTTTTTGCCTCCTTGGAAGCTCGCTGCCCGGAGTCACGTCCAGAACCCAGCGGCCATCTCCATGGTGCCAATTACCAGCAAGTGTCTTTCCTGCGGCACCGGGTTCAGGCAGCTACTCCTGCCCCCCCGAGCCTACGGGGCAGCTTTGCAAGGATCCGGCGCCAGCTCCGGGGGCCCCACGCCCCCGACTTGAAGAGGAGCTCGGGCCTCCCTCCGCCTGCCCATGGAAGGAGCTCTGCCGCCGACTGTTTGAGTCCATCTGTCCGTCCCGGCTCTAGGACACGGGGTCCAGCAGGGACCAGGGGAAAGGAAGGGACTGCCCGGGGCCTGGCAGGGACCCCCAGGGCACTGGCTCAGCGGGGTTGTAAGAAGCTAGTTTGCACACTGTGGGCGGACTGGAAAGAACTCTGTTGGCTGTGTTTCGACCGAGGAGCTGCGGGACCCTAATTTTCGAGAACCCCAGCCCCAGAGAGCTCGCCAGTCTCTGAATTTGGGGGATGCTGGTTTGGAGAGGGATTCTGAAGAAAGCTGGGATTGGGACTGATGGTGCCAAGGCGAGGGATTCCCAGGTAGGAGAATCCCTCATTGTGGAATGAGGTCAAAGGTCATCTTGTCTGGCCCTCTGCCTCCAGGCTAAGGGCCTGGGGAGGCACCTGAGCTCCCCAGTTTTAGTCTTTTTAAACCAACCATCCTGTATTAAGGGCAGAACCCACTGCTCCGGCCTCAGTGACCTTGGCTCAAGGAGAGAAAGACAGTGAGGCGAGACAGGAGTGTGAGAAAGGGGAGATTCCTTCTTGAGCAGGCCCAGGGGGCTGCCTTCCCGGCCCTGCCCGGCCCAGTCCTCCCCGGAGCCTTCGGAAGCCCTTTTGCATGCGGGGAGGACGCAGGCTGGTCCCTTCTGTAGAAGCACATTTCTGCCACCTCCCCTGGGAGGCACCCAGCCACCCACACCCCACACCCCTCCCATCATTCCCTAGTCCTGCTGTGTAGGACGTAGTCTTGGTTAGCCGGGTAGGCTTAGAGTGCCTGGCCCTGGGCCTGGTCTTAGCTTCACATAGAGTCCTTACAGAGGGAATGGAGAAAATTCCAGGAGGCAGCCTTCTCCCTGCCGGCCTGGCCTGGGTCCAAGCCTGGACCTGGTTCAGGGGAGGCTGGCCCCTCCTCCTTCTCTTCCTCCTCTCTTTCCTCCCCCTCCTCATGTAGGGTTGTAGCCAGAGCCGCCCCTGACACTCAGATGTTCTGATTTATTACCCTTGGGACTGATTTTATTTAGGAAGCGCTTCTGAGGATGTGGGCCTTGGCAGAGGGGGCCTGGGCTCCATCAGAGGAGGTGGTTTTCCACTGAGGATTGCCCGACTATGTTCTGTCCCACCTTGTCCCCACTCCCCACCCCACCCCCCCTTTAGGCTGCGGACCAGGTGAGTCCTTCCACCTGGAACTCCCTTCTCCCCTGGCCTGTTCCCAGCCCTGGGCATCCTTTGAAGTCCTGGTTGAGTTATAGCTGCATGGGCATGGGGAGATGGAGGCGCTCCCTCCTTGGTCCAGGAGGCCTTCTGAAACTGAAATCCCAAGGCTGGGGCGGAGGCAGCGGGGTTCAGAATTGGCCCCTCCCCTGTGCTTTTTTTTTTTTAAAAACCAGTGTGATTTCTCTGCCGTGTGTTTATTACTCGCCGTTCGGAATATCTTGAGCCAGGAGAGCGCCTTCTCTCTCCAGCTGTCTTTGCTCTGGTAGTTCAGGGGTAGCATTTCAAAGCCGGGGTGGGGCCTGGCTGTCCCAACCTGAGGACACCGGGGGCACAGCCTTGCTCCCCAGCCTGAGCCCGCCCTGGTGGGGGGTGGGCCTGCACAGCCTTTATAAAGAGAGAAGGCGCTCCAAAGCAATAACATCCTGAGGGTGGTCACCGAGGGCCCCCCTCAATGACTTTCTGTTCGTTCTGTGGTTTCTCAGCTCACCTCCCGGAGGGGTGGCATGGCACGGGGGCTGGAGCCCTCTTTCTTTGTATCATCGTTGTGAGCACATGGCCGCCTTCCAAGGGGCTCCGACCATTGAGCGTAGGGACCCCCCCTCCCCGCCCCATCTGTCCTCACCCAGGGATGGGGGCTTGGGGATGGAGTGGCTGGGGAACCTTCCGGCCCGCTCCTGTCTGATCCTTTGCCAGCTCAAACTCCCCCATTCGGAGAGGAGCTGAGAGGGTGGCACTGGGGGAATTAGGGGTGTGGGGGACCTGGGGGTCTCTAGGGGACGGTTCTTTTTTCAGTCTCTGGGCCAAAGGTCACATGCTGGGGTACAGTGGGAGGGAGTCATCTCCACTTTTCTTCTCTGGAATCTGCCTGTCACACTAAAAGGAAAGGGGCTTTGGGACCATCAGTGAAATGATTTCCATCTTAACAAATAGATCACAGGCCCCTGGGGTCACCTGTGAGTTCACAACACTGGCCATCTGGGCCTCCTCAACCTCCCAGAGGCTGAGCTGGAGCCAGGGCAGGACTAAGTGGGGCCACCATCTTCCCCCCCCCCCCAATATTTCCTCTGCCCTTCTCTCCGTGGCCTTCTCCCAGAGGCCTTGAAAAGATGGGCAGTGCCAATTGTTGTCCATCTGAGGGGGCAGGAAACCGAAGCTCAGCATCAGTAAGTGGCTTGCCCAAGACAAGACCCCTCAGCAATGAGGCCAGAGCAGAAGCAGCTCTGTCCTTACTCCAGGGGACAGCAGACCATTGCTCCTGGGCACATCTGCCATAATAAGGACCTGTGACCTTTAGACCCTGCTTGCTTGCATCTCAATGGGCCAGTAGCTTTTCTGGGCCTTGGGTTTGGGGGGAAGGGTTGCCATAGAGACCTTGTTCTCTTGGGTGGGGGTGGGGGGGTCTGCCTTGACTGATGTGAGGCTGTGCAGGCCATGGTCCTGGTCTTGATCTTAAGTGGGGACTCCCCCCCCCACTCCAGAGACCACAACCCCTCTGGGACCATTCTGAGGGAGGGGCCAGACACCACTTCCTGGGGGTGTGTGGGAGTGAGGGGGGCAGTGGTATTCACCTTAAGGCATTTCCCCCCCAAACCTTCAGATGGAATAACAACGGAACTTCTCAGAGTGCTTTTCATACCTTTTTGTTTTCAAAGTGCTTTAATCTCCCGTGTACTCTCAAAAGAGCTCCCGGGCAGTCAGTGGGGGCCTGGGTGAGTTATCAGCCCCATTTTACAGAAGAAGCTGAGGCCCGGGGAGGGGAAGGTGCTCGCTAAGATCCCACTGTGAGTTGATGGCTGAGCCCAGATCTCCAGCGGTTCAGATCTCTTTTCTTCAGTGCGGGGCAAAGCAGAGTTGAGGTCATGCACTTGACAAGCTGATCCACAGTCCAGCTCCTTACATCTGGAGCTCATGGGCACATCTCAGCAGTGAGAGGCACCGCTGAGCCCGGCTGCCCTTGGAGCACAGCTGTTGCGTTAGGCAAGGCCACCTGCATTTATTTATTGAGCAGCAGCCCTGTGCCAGACCCAGGGGACGGGGTGCCCCAACTCCATCTCCCACTGTCCTGTAACGACTTGTCTGGGCTCCAGGAGGCCCATGTCTGTATAGCGGCACCTCTGAGTGGACAGAAAGCTTTCAGGTCCATGAGCTCATCTGACTCACAAACCCCATCCGGGAGGCGCTGACTGTGCCCGTTTGACTCATAGCTTCTGTGAGGGCAAAGTGGAGACTTGAACCGGGGCCTTGGACATCATCTCTGAGCCCTTTCACCCCACCACTGCCTCCTGAGGGGGTGGCAGGAAGGCAGACCCCTGGTCCTCAGGCCCATTCTCCATTCACCTTTCCCCTCTTCCCTCTCCAGGAGCAGGAGCCCCTCAGGCTTTGGGGGAGGGAGGGTTTCTGGGGCCCCTGGGTTGGAGCAGGTCACGTTGCATTGTGTTCATGACCATGTAGCTCATGTTGAAAATTAAAGTTTTTGGCTTTTCTAACCCAGCCTGCTCTGTTTTGTGTTGATGCAGTTCTCTCTGGGATGCTGAGGGCCGTTAATTTTAATGACCTGAGTGCTGTGGGATGTCAGCTTTGTTAGTGTCCGTTTATGGGTCTGGGGCCCATCCTGGGACCACTTCCAGAGATGCACAGGAGGGAATGGCACTGGGTGAACCCATTTTACAGATGTGGAAACTAAGGCCCAGGGAGGGGATGAGAATTCCCTGAAGTCCCATTGTGGGTGATTGGCAATAAACAGACCTCACAGTTCCCAGAAGAGACTGTGGCCCAGGGACTGCCCTGGCAGTCCAGTGGTTGACTCCACACTTAAGAGAGTAAAGATTTGATCCCTAGCCAGGGAACTAAGATCCCACATACTGTGCAGAGCGGCCAGGGGTTGGGGTGGGGGAGAAGACTGGTCCAGGTAGTCCCAGTGACATGGTGCGTGTCAGCAAGAGCCCCTTCCCCCATCCGAAAAGGGCTGGCCAAGGACAAAGAACATGAGATTCGGGGCTGGGGCCAGTTTCACTCTACATGCCCAGTAAGAGAATGAGTAGTATTTAAATAGTGCACAATTTGCCCAGTGGTCCAAGCTGAATGGTAAATGTTTCTCTTGGGTCCATCTGATCCCCGTGCTTCTCATAGTGGGAGCCGCTGACCTCACTGGTTAGGATTCCAGTGTGGGAAGCCGTGCATTTCCCCCACAACACGGAAAGCCCACGTCACACAACAGAAAAACGGGCCTGTGGAGAATGCGTGTGGCCACGCCTTCCTAGAACAATTTGGACCACATGGGACTTGCACCTATGGGGCAACTTAAGAGTCGTGCTTTTGCTTATGATGCGACTTTTAATGTATTTTTGGAGAGGAGGGCGGGGCTCGCGCCACAGAAGGGAGTGAGAAACTGCTCGTGGCAGAGGACGGCATTGAGGCCACGGCCCCTCAGCCCTTCTCCAAGCTCTGGGGAGGGTGCGCGGACAGGTGAATCCAGACCAGGTTCTAGGATCCAGGTTCTAGGGTCGACCCCCCGGATGAGTGCTGTGGAATTTCTGGGGCCCATCCCAGGACCACTTCCAGAGATGCACAGGAGGGAAGGGCTATCAGATGGACTTCCGCCGGGCCGGGGGCCTGCCGGCTCTGCCGCCGCCCCCAGCCCCGGGGCTGGCGGGGGGCGAGAAGCCGGGATTGTCGCGGGCGCACAGCTCCAGCGGGTGCAGGCGGCAGGAGATGGAGATGGGGCCGGCGCGCTGCGCCGGGGCTCGGCTCTCGGGCGCCCCCCGGCGGAGCGGGCGGGCAGCGCGCTCAGGCGCGTCCGCGCCGGCCGCCAGGAAGCGCAGGACCACGAGGTTGAGGAAGGCGCCGATGACCGTGAGCCCCAGGAGGATGTACAGGAAGCTGAAGGCCACGTAGGGCGGCTTCCTCTGCAGCGCCTCGTCGTTCTGCAGCGCCACAAAGTCGCCGAAGCCGATGGTGGTGAGGGTGATGAAGCAGTAATAGTAGGCGTGGAAGAAGGTCCAGCCCTCGAAGTGCGCGAAGGCGGCGGCCCCGAGCGCCAGGGTGGCCGCGCACAGCAGCAGCCCGGCCACCGCCATGTTCTCGGGGGACACGCGCGGCCGCCGCAGGCCCAGGCAGCGCTTGGCTGCCAGCAGGAGGCGCCGCACCAGCGCGTTCAGCCGCTCGCCTAGGCTCTGGAAGGTGACCAGGGTCAGGGGGATGCCCAGGAGCGCGTAGAACATGCAGAAGACCTTGCCCGAGTCCGTGCCCGGCGCGGCGTGGCCGTACCCTGGAGCAGGAAGGAAGGGGAAGGCTGACGCGTGTCCACGTCCCTCTCACACACTCTCACACACAGGTCTTCCTGCCAGGTCTCTCTCCCCATCCTCCAGAGCCCACAGAGCATGTTGAAATGCTAGTTCGAACTAGGTCATTCCCTCAGCTTTAAAACCTTGTGTGACTACCCATAATCGGCCCAAGTTGTAAACAACCTAGAATGTCCCTCACCTGGGGAATGGATAAACAACCTGTGGTATGTCCATACAACGAAATAATTCTTTTCAGCCACAGGAAGGAAGGAACTGCTATTTCCCCAGCAACAGAGGATGGATCTCAAATGTTTTATGCTGAGTGAAAGGAGCCAAGTTCAAAAAGCGACATATTGCTTGGTTCCATTTAAATGACATTCTGTAAGATAACTGGCAAAACTTCTGTGGCAAAACTGTAGGATCAGAGAACAGACCTGTGGTTGCCAGTCCTTGGAGCTGAGGAAGGGGAGTTAATAAACTACAAACAGGCACGATAGAATTTTGGGGAGTGATAGAAATGTTCTGCCTTGAAATCATGGCTGCAGTTACACGACAGGTTTTCATTTGGCAAAACCCACACGAGTGTACACTGAAAAAGAATGAATTTGAATGTCTGTAAATTGTGCCCTTGATAGAAAAAAAAAAAAAATCTGTTGTGGCTCCCCAGTACCCACAGGGTAAAGTCCTTGTTCTCAGCTACTCAAGATCTGAGCTCCCTCCCGCCTCCAGCCTCAGGCCATGTTTCCCCACCACCCTGTCCTTTTCTCGTGACTTCCCTCCCCTCAGTGATCTTTTCCCCCTGCCCGCATCCATGTCGCTCTTCCCAGGTCCTGTGCCAGGCCAGCTCTCATGAAACACCTCTTCAGTCTGGTGGAGTCCCTCACTGAGTCCCCTGAACTGTGTAGGGAACGTAAACATGAGTGGGCTTCCTTGAGTCTGGGCACACAGAACAATCATTGTGGGATTAGTGGCTGTGTTCTCTCTTCCAGGACCCAAGGAGTGAAAGCTTTCATGGTATTCTCAAAGGGCCCCACAACCCAGGAAAAGTCAGGTGTCCCTTCCCCCATAGAATATACCTCTTCTAGCAAATTGGCCCCATCTGCCGAACGATAAATATACCTTTGGCCTGTGCTGCTCCCCAGTGAGGAAAGTTGTCCTCTAAAACATACACACGTGCAAAGTGATGTGTGCACATGAGCTGTCGTTGCCACACTGTTGGTGACAGCAAAAATAAGACACAGCTTAAATGTCCATCAAAAAGAGCCTGGTGAAACCAGGCATGGTGCCATCCCACGATGGTTGTGGTTCCAACTGAGGGCGATTTAGCCCCTGAGAGGACCATTGGCCATGTCTGGAGACAGTGTTGGTTGTCACACGTGGGAGTTATTGGCATCTGGTGGGTACAGGCCAGGGTCCTGTTAACATTCTTTGATGCACAGGACAGTCCCCACAGTCAGAATTTGTTGTTATTTTTCAGTTGCTAAGCCATGTCCGACTCTCTGCGACCCCACGGACTGTAGCCTGCCAGGCTCCTCTGTCCGTGGGATTTCCCAGGCCAGGATACTGGAGAGGGTTGCCACTTCCTTCTCCAGGGGCTCTTTATGATCCAGGGATCAAACCTGCACTTCCTGCATTGGCAGGTGAATTCTTTACCACTGAGTTACCGAGGAAGCCCACCAGAATAGCCAGTCCAAAATGTCAACAGTGCCAAGGTGGAGAAGTCCTGCTAATCAGCCATGAAAAAGAGGACACAGTTCTTCAGGGACTGATGTAAAGAAATAACCAAAATATACGAAGTGAAAAAAGGAAGAGACAAAAAGGCATGTATAACATAATGTCTCTATCACGTATAAAAGTGAAAGTGACTCAGTCGTGTCCGACTCTTTGCAAACCCATGGACTCTATACAGTCCATGGAATTCCCCAGGCCAGAATACTGGATTGGGTAGCCCATCCCTTCTCCAGGGGATCTTCCCAGCCCAGGGATCAAACCCAGGTCTCCCGCATTGCAGGCAGATTCTTTACCAGTTGAACCACCAGGAAAGCCCAAGAATACTGGAGTGGGCAGCCTATCCCTTCTCCAGCAGCTCTTTCTGACCCAGGAATCGAACTGGGCTCTCCTGCGTTGCAGATGGATTCTTTACCAACTGAGCTACCTGTGTGTGTTATAAAGGAATATATAGGCAGAGAAGATACTTGGAGGGATACTCAAAAAACAGATAACTGCATTTGATCCAGAGAAAGGAATTTATAGGTTGACAGATGCGGAGAAAGGGAGACTTCCTTTTCATCCTATACCTTTTGTACCATGTGAAGTGTGTGCATATATAACATTTGAAATATCAACACTATATACATATATATATTTAAAGATCTATGACTCCATGTTCATGTTTCTACGTCATGGCCCTATTAGTATGCCTCTGTCTATTTGAGGAGCAGGGACCCTGCTGCCACTAAACTGTGAGGTCCTTGAGGCCAGAGATCAATCTAGTCATTTATTGTGTCCCTGATCACCAGTGCCCTGCACAGACTAAGAACTCAATGAAAGTTTAATAACTAATAATAATAATACTCAGACCAGATTGAAGGAGGTACAGAGTGCAAGACGGAGGAGCGTCTTTAGAAATAAAAGGCCAGGCAGTGCTGTTTCCAGTCGTTTGTCTGGTTTTCACAGAGAGGAAGATGAATAATGATAATAACTAAGCACGCTAGGTACTCTACATGGATTATTTTATTTAATCGTCCCAATGACTGTATGAGATTACTATCCCCATCTTACAGATAAGGAAACTAGGCTCAGAGGGAGAAAGCTGCCCACAGGTCACAGGGTTGAGCTATTAACCACTATCCTCCATAGCTTCTCGGTGGCTCTTTTCTGTCCATGCAAAGCTCAACCCCTGGGTTCTGTCGCGTGGCCCTGTGCAAGGCTAGCTTCTGCAGCCTGGACCACACAACCATACTGGCGCCCCCAGGTGGTCCATAGCGGTAAAACTGCTATTTCCTCAGTCGCTTTCCACACCCTGGTCCCTACTCCCTCCCTATCCCAGGTGCCGGTCGGAGGCCAGCAGTCAGAAGTGGAGGCCGCCTCCAGCTGGGAGGCCTCCAAAATGTGGGGGAAGGCAGAGAAGGTAAACAGGGTCCCACACCTGGGACCAGTGCAGGTGGTGCAGTGACAGGGAGGGTCTTCGGCTGAGCCCAGATAGAGAAGAAGGGGTGCCCAGGCTGACAGGAGGGGTCAGAAGGGCTAACAGGAGCTGGGCCCACAGTTGGCAAATAACGAATTGTCATTATTGTTAATTATCAGTCCCTACTGAGCCTCAGGACTGTGCTATGCATTTTACCCGCTTGGCCTCACTTAAACCTGGCAATCACTCAGTGAGATGGCAACATTTGCACGTTGTAGTTGAGGAAACCAGGGCTCAGAGAGGTACAATCAATTGCCAGAGAAGGCAGGAGGCAACAGAGATGAAAACCAGAACTCTGGCCTATGTAATTTCGGAATGCAGGCTTTCAACTTCACTGCTAAACCCACAAACTCACACTGACTTGCAGGAGCATTCAGGAGGAACTTTCTCCGCAGCACCGGTTTCCAGGGTGGTGGTCCAGGCCCAAAGAGACACTGGGATCTCCAGAGCCAGCCTGGGGGAGTGGCTGGCACCCAGCATGGAGCCCAGAGAGCCTGCTCCTCCCCGTTTCTGCTTCCCCAGGCTTGGGCTCCGCAGGTATCAACCAGTCGGTAGCCATGGCAACGGTTGGCGGTCCAGATGCTGCAGAGAAAGTGCTCTGAATCCCCGAGGGTGAGGTCCAAAGCTGGTGATAATCAGTCATTCCTTTAACAAATATTTATTGAGTGTCTACTACAGGCTAGGCACTGGCCATATTGCAGGAACTAAGACAGATTAGGCGCCCGTTCTCTTTTTTGTTATAATACAAAAATCAATCCCCCCCCCCCTTTTTTTAGTGCTTTCTACTTGTCAGGCCCTGTGCTAAAACTTTCTACATATATTATTTCCTTAATGAAAACTGTCTCACTACAGCCTTGAGATACGGCCTATTAGCAACCCTCTTTTACAGAGGAGAAAACCTGAGGCTCAGAGAGGTTAAGCAACTGGTCTGAGGTCACACAGCTAACGTGATGCGCCGCCCACACCCCCGGCCCCCCGCAGACAAGGAAGCAACTCCAGCCACTTGGGCTTCCGACTCCACTTTATCAGTCTCGCAGCCCCTGCCACTGCCTCTTGGCAACGGGGACCTACTGGCTCCTCCCAGCCGGGCCGGCGTGGAACCACAGAGAGCCCATTCGACAGAGGGAGGCAAGTGAGGCTCGGCGAGCTGAAATGACTGCTCCAAAGTCACCCCGCCTGGCGGAGGCAGAGGTGGGATTGAAACCCCGGGACGCCGCGGACGCCTGGGGATGGAGCGAGCGTGGAGGGGAGGTACCGGGGGCTGCTCACCGATGGTGGTGATGACGGTGATGGCGAAGTAGAAGGAGCCGGCGAACTTCCACTGGCTGCCGGCGCGGTGCGGCTCGGCTTGCCGCGCCAGGCGCTCCAGCTCGCGGTAGTCCTCGGCCGAGAAGCCGTACTTCCTCCGCAACTCGCTCCGCTTCTGGGCCAGCAGCCGCTTGCGGCCGCTCTCCGCCTCGGACTCGAGCGCGTCGAAGACGGCGGCGCCCACCAGGAGGTAGGAGAGGATGCACAGGACCAGCGCGGCGGTGCGCGCGCTCTGCTTCCTCATCGCAGAGCCCCGGGCCCCGCTCCCCGGCCCCACGCCGCGCTCGCCGCCGCCCCGTCCATGCGCCCCGACGGTCGCCCCGCGCCCCCCTCGCGGCAGGAGTCGGGGCTGCGGGCGGCTGGGGTGTGGCACCCCGGGGCGGCGCCTCGGCGGGGCGGGGCGGGGCGAGGGGGCGACGAGGACCCGAAGGGCTCCTGCAGCTGCCACATGCCTGCGCCTCCCCTGCCTTTGTTTCCCCGGGGGCGCCCCGGGGCTGTAGCGTCTGCAGGTCTTGACAGCGGGACGGAAGCGCCCAAAGCCCAGCTCTGCAGGCGCCCTATCTCCACCGCACTCCTCGTCCGCTGACCTTGGGCAAGTCATTCATTCCTTCGTTCGGTCGGTCATCCAGCAAATATTTACCAAGCACCTACTGGTACACACAATCTATTACATTCCTGGTGTAAATAGAGCTGATATCCTCGGATAGAGGGTTGGATGGAAGTCAAACAAAAAGATAATGTAAGAAAAGTGTGAGGGTCTTCTCTGGCGGTCCAGCGGTTAAGACTCCGCGCCTCCGCTGCCAGGGGCGCGGGTTGGATCCCTGGTCGGGGAACTAAGATCCCACAGGCCAAAAATTTAAAATTTTGGCACGGCCAAAAATTTAAAAAAAAAAAAAGCGTGAGAAGGAAAACATCCTGTCCTGCAAGGGGGGTGGAGGGTGGGAGTGGAAGGGGCACTTACAGCTGAGATGGTGGAGAAAGCGTCCTTGGGGAGCGACTGGAAGCAGTGCAGGTCCTTTAAGCAGAGAGACCAGTGTGTCTGGAGTCACAGTGACTGGGGTGGGGGTCAGGGTGGGGGTGGGGATTAAAAGGAAGACAGAGAGTCCACTTCACAGGGGGTTTTACAGGCCCTCTGAAAAGTTCCCTGGTGGTTCAGACCGTAAAGAGTCTGCCCGTGGTGTGGGAGACCTGGGTTCGATCCCTGTGTCGGGAAGATCCCCTGGAGAAGGAAATGGCAACCCACTCCAGTACTCTGGCCTGGAGAATCCCATGGACAGATGAACCTAGTGGGTTACAGTCCATGGGGTCGTGAAGACCTGGACACGACTGAGTGGCTTGACTTGACTTCACTTCTTCAGTACAATAGAAGACCCTGGAAAGGCTGTAGGCAGGAAGACAAACACCAGCGATCTAATTGACATTTTTTTAAAAAACAGCATTCTGGCTATCTTGTGGGAGAGAGATGGTGGTCCAGAGTGAAGGCCAGTTAGAGGACTCTTGTCCTCCAAACCTGTGCTGAGGGTGCGATGGAGATGGTGATGAGTGGGTGGGTCTGAAATGCTGGGGAGGTGGAGCCAGGCGCACTCGGCCAGCCACACGCTCACATGACGATGGAGTGAGGGCAGGAGTGACTGGTGTCCCATCCAGGCCTGGTCCATAAATCTGCCCCATGTGCCAGGCCCCCACCGTTCTTCCCAACAGCAGACAATGCGGGCACCAACCAGCCCATCCCAAAGGAAATCAACCTTGACTATTCACTGGAAGGACTGAGGCTGAGGCTGAAGCTCCAATACTTTGGGCTCCTGATGCGAAGAGCCAACTCATTGGAAAAGACCCTGATGCTGGGAAAGATGAAGGAGGGAGGAGAAGGGGACGATAGAGAATGAGGCGGTTGGATGGCATCACCGACTCGATGGACATGAGTTCGAGCAAATTCCAGGAGATGGTGAAGCACAGGGAAGCCTGGTGTGCTGCCGTCCATGGGGTCGCAAAGAGTCAGACACAACTGGGGACTAAACAAGTCTTTAGGCGAGGACAGAGCCACAGGGTGGGGGGAGCTGGGGAGCTATGACACACTGCAGAAGATCCCCCCAAAGAACACCTACTTTGAACTTCAATGGCATTGAGCCCCTGACGTCTGGAGTCCATCTGTTACTGCAGCTAGTGTTACCCAGATGCGCAGAGCAAAGGACATGCTGATGGGTTAGATGTGGAGGGTGAAGAGGACTTAAGGATGATCCTGGGGTCCCTGGCCTGAATGGCTGGGCACTTGGGGCACCTTCCACTGGCCGCACTCCCTGAGGAATCTACCCCTTCCCACCAGCACCAACGTGATGCTCATGTCAGCGTCCTGGGTGGGCCAGCATGGGTGGGCAGAGTACTGGGCAGCCTGTCCTGCAGCTGTCTGGACCCCCACCCTCCCAGCTCTCGGCTGCAGCTTAAAAAAAATCATTTATTCCTTTGGCTGCGACAGGTCTTAGTTGTAGCATGTGGGATTTTCAGTCTTCTCCCAGGATCTTCGATCTTCTTGCAGGATCTTGGGTCTTCTCACGGGATCTTGGGTCTCCCTTGTGGCACATGGGATCTAGTTCCCTGACCAGGATCGAACCCCGGCCCCCTGTGATCGTTGCAGCCCCTCTCCCCACAGCCCCTTTGCTTTTTTCTTGGCTCCGTCTACGTTAAACTTTCAGTTCCTTCTGCTACCCCTTGCTCTGCTTGGAGCAGCCTTCTCCCCAGCCCACTCAACAGCCAACATTTATTGAATGCCTGCTAGGAGTACGGCGTTGGTTGAAGCACCTTACATGTGTTAAGGCATTTAATCCTCACAGCTTCTTTAGTAGAGGCAGCTGCCTGACGCTCTCTCTGTCCTGTACCCCTCCCTTCATGGGACATCTTCCCTGACTCCTCAGGTGTCCCTCCTCTGGGCTCCTCGGAGGCTTCCGGCTCCTGCCATCTTGCATTCCTCCCACTGAATTCCCTATGTGTGTCCCGCTGAGGACAGGGATCCCATCTGGGTCACCAGTCTGTCCCCAGCACCCAGCTATGACACAGAGCACATATTCAATGATGTGGACGAACAAGCAGCAGAAGTACAAAGAAGTTCAGAGCGGGGACTCTGCACCCCCAGTGCCTGGGGTCATATCCTACTTTTGCTTACCAGTTGTATGAACTTGGGATGCTTCAGTCTCCCTAGTTTCTAGGGGGGTTAGAAAAGTTCCAGTCTCAGAAGATGCTGTGGTCAGCAGAATAATGCTCCCCCCCAAAGATACCTAGCCATGCCGTCACTTCAGTCGTGTCCAACTCTGCAATGTTATGGACTGTAGCCCACCAGGCTCCTCTGTCCATGGGATTCTCCAGGCAAGAATACTGGAGTGGGTTGCCATGCCCTCCTCCAGGGGACCTTCCCGACCCAGGGATTGAACCCACACCTCTTATGTCTCCTGCATTGGCACTCGGGTTCTTTACCACTAGTGCCACCTGGGGACCCCCCAAAGATGTGCACATCCTATTCCTGAGCCCTGTGACTATGTTAGGTTATGTGACAAAGGGGAATTGAGGTTGCAGGTGGAATTAAGGTAGCGAATCAGCTGACCTTGAAATGGGCGATCATCCTGATGCTCTGGGTGGGCCCAGTGTGATCAAGGGTCCTCAGAGTTGGAAGAGGGAGGTGGAAGAGAGGGAACCAAGGAGAGGAGGACTTGGCCTGATGTTGCTGGCTTTGAAGATGGGAAAAGAGAGCCCTACGCCAAGGACAGCAGTCTACTTCTAGAATCTGGAAAAGGCAAGGAAACAAAAACAGTTTTGCCAGTGTCTTGATTTTAGCCCAGTGTGACCTGTGTAGACCACCATCCCACAGAACTGGAAAGTAATACAGTTGTGTTGTTCAAGCTGCGTTGTTGTTTAATCGCTAAGTCATGTCTGACTCTTTTGCAACCCCATGGACTGTAGCCCACTGGGCTCCTCTGTCCGTGACATTTCCTAGTCAAGAATACTGGAGTGGGTTGCCATTTCCTCCTCCAGGGAATCTTCCTGACCCAGGGATCCAACCCGTCTTCTGCATTGGCAGGCGGATCCTTTACCACTGAGCCACTTGGGAAGCCCATTCGAGGCACTAAGTGTGTGATCATTTGTTACGGCAGCAACAGGGCTCTAGTACAGTGGTTACAGGATTAAACAAGCCGCTAGATGTGCCGCCCTGAGAGCAGCGCCTGGCCTGAGGACCCACGTAGCAGTGTTAGCCTGTGTTGCTAGTATCACAACAGAGCAAAGGCCCAGGTCTGCACAAGGCTAGACTCAGCTCCTGCCCTGACTCAGCTCTCAGGCAGAATTGGGGGCCAGTGCTTAGGAGAGGGGCATTGGACGCCCCCCCCCTTCTGAGGAGCTGGAGGGGGCAGCTCAGTAGCCCAGAAGCGAGGAAGCTGGTGCTGCTGTGTCAGCCTTATTTTTGCTCATGGCATCAGCAAGTTTGATTTTCTGATTCCTGCTCAGACTTCAGAGGATCAGAAACCTGGCTACAGTCTCAGACTGGGGTGGGGTGGGGGCACCAAGGACCTACATCCTGAGAAGGGCCTGGGAAGAGCTTGTGGGGACAGCGTGGGGGTATAGGAATGGTTGCTCTTAGGAGAAGGGCCAGGTCCATCTTAGGGGACAGTTAATGAGTCCTGGTCCTGGACACAGCTGGAGTCAACATGGCCTGGGTTTAGATACTTTCTACCTGAGTATCTGTGGATAGAAGACTTTCTTGTCTGTGTTCCTTGGTTTTCCCATCTGAAAAATGGGAGTAAGGTCCACCTCCTAGGACCACATCCAGCATTAGAAAAGACACTGCACGTTGCTTTCCGGGTGCTCAGAAGCCACTTTTCATCCCTTTTTACAACTATCTGCCTGCAGATGTCCTGAATTCTTTTTCCAGAAGTGGGGGCAAAGCTAAGACTGTGGAGCGCTGTCTGCACTAGGCATATTCACAGATGTTGCTAAGGGGGTCCTCACTTCCCAGTGCAGGAAGCTGGGGGGCAGGAGAGAAGAGACCCCACGGGCCAAGTCCTCAGGGTCGGGCAGCGGCTGAGTCAGAACTTGAACTCGGGGCTGACTGGCCCCCAAGGTCACAGTCCTTCCGAGACAGGGTGCCGCCTCATCAGGCAAGAGGCTGGGGGCTTTATCACCCTCCGGGGGCCTCTCTGGACCTCACTTTCCCCATCTCAAAGCTGGATCTTGGGGGGTGCTGGGAGGCTGCCCGCCCCCACC